GATAGAAACAGGGTACATGCGGATTTTCTTCGAAAGCGATACTCCTTTTTCAGTTGAAATATTTGACACATTTCCAAAACTACTTGATGCTACCACAATTCTCCTATTTACTCTAACTAGTAACACTGCTGATTTGTTACATTGATCTACTACCTGAAGCGCTTCACTTCAATGTTCCACTTGTAAATTATCAGTGGGATGGGTTCTTAATGAGGAAGAAACAGAATTTTGCGGCTTTGTATCGTTTGGAAGCCGTCACATCACATAATCGGCTCCTCTTACTGCTCGTCAAGGCAGTGTAATCTGTGTACTCCAGTTCAGTAAGAGATATCTAGCCGGATGTCTTAAACTGCGCCTTTCCTTTGAATAAAACCGAAATCTTTGCCAAGAGCTATTTTGTAGAAGAAAGCCCAGAACAGTGTTGAATGGGAAGGACGAAAGCACATCTCCTTGGTGAATTCTGCAATGAATGCGGGACTACGCACAAAGTTCTTCTTCGATTTTGACGAGAGACATGGTTCCTGCGCACATCTCTTTCAAAGTGGAAGCAATTTGTTCAAGTGTAACATAGAATTGCAGGATTTTCTTTACTCTTGGACGATATATTGAATCAGATACAGCCTTAAAATTGAGGAAACTGACATACCAAAACAACAGCAATCGATCGCATTGTTCAGTGACCCTACGAAGATTGAAAATTTAATGTGGATTTACGATTAATGGTGACTTTAGTTTTGTCATCTTTTTATAATATATTCTTTATTATTGCTATGCTACCAGTACATAATTTATTCTTCGATGAATCATCCGTTTGGTTACTTTATTCCAGTTATTGGTGCATGAACGGTTTTCGCGTGGATGTGTCTCATGTGGTAAGTCTTATAGATAAAACGTTTCAGAAGCGAAAATTTGAATGAGATGACAAAGAGTAGAGGGATAGCAAATTTTACAAGTGTAATGTTGTTTTGGTACAAAAATTCTGGGTTCGATCAGCCGTTGTCGCTTGGATTTCAAGTTGCCAACATCTTATCAAATGTATGTAGTATTGTGATTGTTGATTTTTAGCCGATAAACTTCTATAGCCGGATACGTTTTAGAAACAGACCGCTGATGCTCAGGATGTCGTCTAGAGATAAAGGCCGTGGTCGCATGCCAGTTGACAGGCGACGTGGCAGCATGTCTTCTAGGTACCGCAGTATATCGCCACCGTTGCCACCGCCGCCGCGGATGCAGCGCAAGCGTAAGCCGATCAGCCCAAACTACAGTTCTTACTACCGTGACAGATTCGGAAGTCACTCGCCGGAAGAATACAAAAACCTGAGACTGACCAACATCGATCCGAAGGTGTCCAACGAGCGGTTGAGGGAAATCCTGGACAAGTATTTCTCGACGTTTGGCGAGATGAACGTGAAGGTGGTTCGGCATTTGGAGCCGGATGACAGGCTGGCTTACGTGAACTTCGAAAATCCACGTGCGGCTAAAGAGGCAAAACGACGCTGTTTGGCCAGTTTGTACCCGGTTTTAGGCCGGCACCTGAAGGTCGATCCTGCCGGAGTGATCCGGGATCAGGACGGGCGCTTTGTGATGAGGTCGACGTCGCGACGTTCTTCTAGTCCCTTTCAGCTTTCCGACTCCGGACGTTACAGCCGAAATCAGAATGATCGTGTTGACAACGGATACGGGCGATACAAGGTACTGGCCGTACTGTTGTGAAGCTTTATCGGTTGATTTTCTGACCCTGGTCGATTCGGTCTCTATAAAAGCGCTATAACGTGTTGTGCTTGCGAGTAGATGATGATGATGATTTGGCAGCGAGCCATTATTGTCCCCCCAAAAGTGCGTGGAAAGTGAAGTCGCGAAATTTTCGACGTTCGGAATTGTTCAAGATTATCTGCTGTTACTGGCCAGTTCATCATTAGGTGTCATTCGTTCACTTTCTATGGTTCCGTTGAGTTGTCGTAACATGCCGTTTCGGTTCGATTCCGTCCGGTTTGTTCATTGCTCTTATCACCACTATCCCGTTCACCTGTCCATCCAGTTTGTTGTTGCCATGTGTTGCCGCAATTTGCTGTTTCTCCTCTCTGATGGTGCTGTTCATTCGTCACATACCCACGCACCTAGCAGTTAGCTTCGACCGAAATGCTGCGCTACGACGATGACCGTTGTCCTTCCGAGTTGGTGGCTGTGTGTCCTTTGGTTTGGTGGCTTGGTGTCCATAATTCGACTACAAGAAATCAAATTATTGCGCCGTCTGTCAATGGGTCGTCGCCTCCCTCGTTCCTGGCCATTTTAACCAATTGCCAGATCCAAGCGTCGTCATTCATGCATTGAGCCTTTTCTCCTTGTGGTAGTGGTCATGTCTGGTATGATCTGACGACCACTATGCCGCCATAACGAATCAGTGTGAAATCTTACCATACAAGCAGCAGAATGCCAGCAACAAACAACAGCACCGCATGCAGTATGCCCGCTGACCTGAATGATCGTCGTCGTCGTCGTCGTCGTCGTTTCTGTTCTTTTTGTCGTTGTTTTCCGTCCGGCATCTGCACAGATTTCCTTCTTCTGCCAGTGATTTACTTGATTGCACATGAAACTGATGTCGAATTGCATGATGTATTTTTTGACGACTGTCTGGTCACAGTTCGGTCGTCCGGTAAGTAAATGTCTAGCTGTTGAAGGTTTATCGAACGATCGCCTTTCAAGCTGCATATATTATATTTTTTATACGTTTTTTTATTTTTATTTTTCAAAATGCAGTGCTGTTTTTTTATAAAATACGTAACCTAAGTCAGTGAACTTACCTGAGTAATTATTACTCTTGGGATCGAAGCCGCAAGTAAAATTAGTTCATATAAAAGAGGGGTACATCTGTCTACTTTCTCATGTCTGCTAGAATTTTTGAAAGTTTACTTTCCTTTTTTAGGATTTTTAACGCTTATTGTTTTATGTAAGTAGTTGTATTCAGATATTGTCTAAAGCTCAACCAATTCAGTGCCAAGTAGTTCGGTTTTCTAAGAAAGAAAACTGTGTGGTTGTTACTTGCAGCCATGTAATTGGAAGTTCTTAATATTATTTTGTCATGTTATTACTTTATTGCTTTAGTTTTGTTTATGTTAGTTCCTTACTCCTGATAGTGTATCTGACCGCCTTTGGCTTTTTCAGTTGCAGGACTATGACAACTTTGGACCACCATCTCGGCACGAATCCAGTGAGTACGAATATGCAAACTACCCGCCGAAACGACGCCGCTATTCTAGCGAGTGCAGTGCCGACAGCAACTCACTAGAAGAGGCCAATTCGACGAGAACCCTTTTCGTCGGAAACCTGGAATACGACATGACGTTGACTGAGTTGAAGCGCTCGTTTAGCAAATTTGGTGTCATCGAACAGGTGGACATCAAGACACCAAACGAAGGTCCGGCGTACGCGTTTGTCCGCTATCAGAACCTGGCGATGGCCAGGGAAGCGAAGCGGTCGATGAACGGCCACTACGTTCGCAACCTTCGCTGCAAGGTCGGCTACGGCAAGCCGTTGCAAAGTCGACGTCTTTGGGTCGGTGGACTCGGGCCCAACACGTCCCTGGCCTGGCTCGAGAAAGAGTTCGACCGTTTTGGCGCTATCGAGAAGATAGATTTTATTCGAGGTGACAATCACGCTTACGTGCTATTCGCCAGCACCGAGGCAGCCATCGAGGGCTGGAAGAAAATGAAAGGAACCCGCATAAAGGACGGCTCAGAGTTTCGCTTGCTTCAGGTACATTACATGTGATTTGTGACTATTGGTTTTTAAATTAACACTACTGAAAACTCAACGAAAATGCGGTTAATAAATTCATTTCTTTGCCAGTGAACAGTAGTCCGTTGAAAATTTATATTTTGAAAATTATTAGTTATATTCGTTACCGACCATGATCACAATGATCTTTCAGTTCGATGCCATGAAATGATGAAAAAGCTTTGAACGGTAGTAGCTTGTCTACTTCGCGCTTCAGATCTTTCTCCATACCTCTCAACCAAGAGAACTATTCTTAAGAAGCTTCAACTCGCAGCTATCTGAGATGCATCCGCCAGTGAATCGCTCGTTCTTTTTTCATGTCGAACAACCACCGTAGCGGCAAATTCAACGGTTGCAAACTTTTATTTTCTTTTACGCCTCGCAGTAGTGAAATACCAACTCAACAGCCTTAGCAGAGCCTCGGCGGTATGTGCCATTTCACCCTCTTCTTCATCTTCCATCGCCGCTTCTCCTTTCGAGTCGCGGAGACAGACGTGTCAGACGGTGCTTCCAACGTTCCCGATCCTTGCCAGAATCTGAGCTTCAGCAGAAAACAACTCTAGTCTAGAACAGACTCCTTCCATATATTTGCACCAGGTTAATCTTGGTCGTCCCCTGGGCCTTTTGCCGATCGGTTTGACAAGAAACAGTTGCTTAGCCTTCCTTTCCGGGGCATTCGCAACACATGCCCAAAGCTGTGACTTCTCAATCTGGAGAAGCAAAGGCTGTATTCCAAGGCTCTCCCGGATGTCACTATTCCGGACTATGTCGAGGACGCGTAAGGCCAGCGACTCGTCCAGGAAAGCCTATTTCAGCAACTTGTACCCGGGTTCGAAGTTTTTCAGTGATGGTCCACGATTCATGACCGTAGGCAAGTATGGGATAAAGATCGACTTGAATATTGAGAACTTAGTTTTCAGACTGAGCTCTGCTTTAGTCACAGTGGGTCGCCACTGGCTACTCCAATTCGCCGGTAGATCTCTTCCTCCAACTTTCCATCACTAGTAAATACAGTTCC